GTCGGAACCGGGGGCCCAGATCCAGCCGCTGCTGAAACTGACCAGCGGCTGATTCCAGGAAGCCCGGGGCAGAGCAACTCTGCCTCGGGCTTCCTCTAGTCAGCCGCTGGTCAGTTTCAGCAGCAGCTGAATCTGGACGCCAGTTCCGACTTACATACAGATTCAACTTAAGAACAAACCCACAGTCTCTATCTTGTACGTAACCCGGGGACTGCCTGTACTTTGCATTTATCCTTATTGAACTTCCTCCTATTTTCCTCAGATCATTTTTCCAGTTTGTACAAATCATTTTGAATTATGACACTCCCCTCCAAAACACTTGCAACCCTGCCCAACAGAGTATCATCTGCAGACTTTATAAGCATACTCTCTATGCCATAATCTAAATCGTTGATGAAGATTTTGAACACAATTTGTCCCAAAACTGAACCTTGCAGAACCCCTCGTTATGTCCTTGCAGCATGACTGTGAACCACTGATAACCATTCTCATAGAGTAGTTATCCAATTAGTTATGCATCCTCCTTACAGTAGCCCCATCTAGGATGTATTTCCTTAGTTTGTTTATAAGAAGGCCATGAGAGACTGTATTGAATGCTTTACTAAAATCTTTGGATACCATGTCTACCGCTTCCCCCTTATCCACAAGGTTTGTTATCCTCTTGATCAGCTTCTTGAGTATCCTACCCTTCTCTTTAAACAAGACCCCAAACTTCCTCTTTTCCCCATGTACCCTTCCTTTTACCTTCCTTGATTTTACAACATACAATAAAAATCTCACTTACCCCAGACACAAATGTATTTCCCGTTTCAGAAGGAGCCAGATCCAGGCACAAAACATCAGCCCCATGCCCATGAAAACTCTGCAAAAGCTGCCCACTCTCAACATCCCAGAGGGCACACGTTCCATCTCCACTTGAAGTCAGGATCTATGATAAGTGAGGAAAGAGCAATAGTATATCACATAAAAGTCTGAAATTCACTTAAACTGTTGTGCCTCTCACACACAATGAGTTGGATTTTACAGTAGAATCTTGGGCTGTGTCTAGACTGGCATGATTTTCCGGAAATGCTTTTAACGGAAAAGTTTTCCGTTAAAAGCATTTTCGGAACAGAGCGTCTAGATTGGCACGGACGCTTTTCCGCAAAAGCACTTTTTGTGGAAAAGCGTCTGTGCCAATCTAGACGTGCTTTTCCGCAAAAAAGCCCCGCTCGCCATTTTCGCGATCAGGGCTTTTTTGTGGAAAACAAATCTGAGCTGTCTACACTGGCCCTTTTGCACAAAACTTTTGCGCAAAAGGACTTTTGCCCGAACGGGAGAAGCATAGTATTTCCACAAGAACACTGACAATCTTACATGAGATCGTCAGTGCTTTTGCGGAAATTCAAGCGGCCAGTGTAGACAGTTGGCAAGTTTTTCCGGAAAAGCGGCTGATTTTCCGGAAAAACTAGCCAGTCTAGACACAGCCTTGGAGTTATGAACATCAGAATTACAAACTGATTGGCAAACCATACACCACAGCAGCAGAGCCAAAAGGGATTAAAAGCACAGTACTGTACTGCGTTAAAAATAAGCTAATAAAAAATAAAAGGAAAAAAGTTTAAAAAATGGTTTGACACGGTAAATTAAGATGGTAAAAAGCAGCAGTTTTTTCCTGCATAGTAGAGTTTCAATGCTGTGTAAAGTCAATGTTCATTGGTAAACTTTTTATAAACAACCTCCATTCCTAAGGTGTTTGTAATTCTTGAAGTTATACTGAACTTAATTGGAGTCAGAAAACCAGCATGGATTTCAGCATGGTTTTCTCAAAAGGAAGGTGGCAGAGTGATGGGAAGAACACAGAATGTTGCAATAGCCTATTAATATAAAGGTTTAATTCTATTCAGTTGTTTGAGTGAGACATCATCTAGGGCATCCAAGCTTATGATCTCCTGGTATTTCCATTCCCACCAGGTACATCTGCCCTGTTCACATTAGTGAAACTAGAATCCAAAAAGGGTTAAGGGAAGAGTTTGTGGATTTAAATAAACTTTTGAAGTTTCTCTTTTTCTACTTCTTGAAACAGACAGGTCTGGAGCCAGCAAAATCCATGTAAATTACAGATAAGTTGAATGTGGCATCTTCTGTGTATATTAGCTTACACCAGCAATTGTTTGGCAAGTCCATCACATGTCCTAAAATCTAAATCATTAACGTGTGACTAGATTTGGACATGTAATGACTGAACCTTGCCAACAGCTACTCTCATCCTGATGATGACCCTCAATTGTTACAAAACATCCTTGTGGCCATCAGCAGCTCTTACACAATCACAGTTTTTTGTATGCTGAAATATTATCTGATGATTTGGTCCTGTATATAGAATAAGAAATCACAAGGCTCATAACTTAATTGATAAGATGGCTCTCACTAGATAAGCAATGGAAGAGAAATGGATCACACCCAATTTTTTAATTCTTAGGTGAAGCAATTGCTACAGATTGCACCTCTATAAACTGGAACTCTCTGATCCAGCAACATCTGTTGTCTGGAAGGAGCATGGATGTTCCCAGATCAGAGAGTTCCAGTGTGCTATTGAGGGTGGGGAGGACAGGAGCCAAGCACTTTGCAGGTGTGTGTGTGTGGGGGGGGGACACAACGAGTAACCCACTGGCAGCTCAGCTGGGCTACGGGAGTGGAGGGGGCAGGAGTAGGTGCATGGCTCAGCTGGGCTGCAGGAGGATCCAGGAAACCCCGTGAGGATGGGGACAGAGTAGAGAGGGCCAGCAGCAGGGGGTTCAGAAATGGCTTCCCCAGGGCCAGAAAAATCCCTCATCTGGTACCAGACAGATCCTGAGTGTGCCGGACCAGGGAGGTCCAACCTGTAGCAAGCCCAGCTGTAACTGGAAACCAAAATGAGTCACTCTGCAAGGGAAAAAATAATTGTGGAAGTAAAGAGTCATTTATAGGGCCACACATGGGTTAAAAACAGATCCGTTTTGGCAAAAGTTCAGATTTGGTTATCCTTCCATAGTTACAGGAGCACTTGTAAAAATTGCAGGGTAGTTTCTCTTTTGAGTCTTGTTGTCCTCATTATATGCAAAGATGTGCTAAAATTATGGGATTAAGGGTGCAGAATAGAATCTTAAATTATCTCTAGGATGATATATTTTTGTATTATGAGGAAGTGTTACATTTTCAGGGCTGAAACTTGGAGATTGCCCATAGTCTGGCAGATGACATTTCCCGTTTTGATAGCCAAATGAGTAGCATAGAAGGATGTGCAGGGAGGGGCCAGTAGAAGTTTTAAGGGTGTGATCCATTTTCAACACAAAGCTTTTCATTATATTTTATAATAAGCATGGTTACACAGGAAATTTTATGAAGTCAGGTTCAAACTATTCTTATACAAAAACATGGAGTGAAAGACCTGCTTTGACTGTCATGTTTTAGTCCTCTTGACTCACAGCAAGTCTGGAAACACTGAATCAAGTGCCTTCATCTGCCACCTTGTGGTAATAGGCAGCATTTTACCAAGCTTTTGGGTAAAACCTTCATTCCCGTCCTTGCAATAATAAAAATGTGCTAGCTACAACAACACAGAAACCTAGGCTGAAATGCTAGGATATTTTGAGGCTCACAAAAGACTCCGTACTTTTGCTTTCTCTGCTTGTGCAGTGTACTAGAAATGCTTCACAGTAATTAAGAGGTGAGAGCATGTCTAGTGGTTTGAGGAAAAGACGGTGACTCAGGAGTCCTTGATTTCAGTTTCCAACTTTTTTACCATCTGTCTGTTCCTTGCGTGTAAAATACTAGGAGATCCCCAAGTACTGTTGTTGTTATTACTAAGGCCTGTGCAGCTGGCTTGGCACAGGACAACATGATTTTCCCAGTGCTACATGGGAGGGTCTACTCCGGTGAAGGTGCTGTGTGCCTTCCACAAAGCGATGGGAGGCTTTCCCAGTTATTAACATAAAGCACTCAGTTCCTGGCAGGATGGGGCCTTTGAGTCATGTCTGGGGTTATTCCATGGCTATGAGTAGGTCCATTGTTGATGTGTCCCAGGAGAAAAAGAGCTGCTCAGTGCATCCAAATGCCTAATGTTTAACCAAAAAGTAGTGCTGAGGAAAGCTCTGCATTGTTTATGCATATTTTACACCATAGCCTGATTGTTTTAAAAGTAATTTTATCCCAGGGCCATTATACCAGAAAGAGACTGACATTTCTCAACCATCCTCTACAAATAGCATCCCGAAGGAGGGCTGCACTGCCAATGTGGGTTGGAGTTTCTGATCTCTCTCTGTTTCACTGCTATATATTACACTGTAACACTTTACACTACAAAATATCACTCAAAACAAACATCTATTGATCCCCCAAACTCAATTTCATTGTAAAGCTAGACTAAGCCCTTTGCATCAGAGGTCCTTCATAGCTGTATATCTAGAGTACCTAAGTACATGGTTGATGCTACACTAATAATAAAAACAGTAATTTGTTCAGTATAATATCTATTTTACTCTTCATGAACATAAAAGGAAAACTCTGTTTTCACTGCTTGTTTATGAAGAGACAATACTAAAAAACCTACAAAAATAAAGAGCCATGGTTCACATAGGTATAATCAGGAAAACAAAACACTATTTTTGAATTGTACAAATAACATTCCACCTAATTTAGACTTCATGTTTACTCTGCCCTAATTATACTGGACTCCTGCATTGTAAGGCCACAATTAACTACACTAGAGCACTCTGGGTAGATCCTTGACTTTCCTCCGTTTCCATGGCAATAGACTTGAATCAGCATCACAGATTCATTACTGCAACCACATAATGGCAAACAACAGCTCACCCTTGGATAGCTCATGTTCTGAAATAGAAGCAATCCTAGCTAATATTTCCTTAGGAAGAGTCGCAAATATCTGGAGCCAAGGACAAAAGCATTATCTTTTCTATCCAGACTTCATAGCCTGCATAACAATGAAAATATCCCTTTTATTTTGCTATTTTGAGCAGAACGTTACATTCTAAAACTAGAATGGGACAAATGATTCTTTCATCCCCACATACGCTCATGATCTTGCAAGAAGTGGGTTTTTTTATATTTACTAAATAGGAAGGATGGTCTTATGATGAAGGCACCAGACTAGCACTCAGAAGATGTGTGTTTTATTCCCTGATCTGCCACAGACTACCTGTGTGACCTTTGGCAAGTAACCTGGCCTCTCTGTTTTAGCTCACCATATATACAATGGGGATATATAGATTTAGATTTTATTTATATATAACACAATTATATATGAATCCGCGGATTCTTATGGAGCATCTAGGAGAGATGGACAGTACCCTAATTAGCTGGAACCACTGCCTTGCACAGAATATGATAACTCCACTAGGCATGGTGAACATCTCTACTGCTAGGAAAAGTGCTTTGCCTCTCCATGCAGCACCAAGTATAAATCCAGATCACGGATTATGTATTATGCCCGACAAGAAATCTGTACCTGAATGTAAAATTTACCTGCATGTCTGAGTTAGTGAAGCTGCATGCAGACAGGTAGTTTGTGTGCATTGCAACAGATTTCTTCTTTGCAGCCATATTTTCATTTTTATCAAACGTCAGTGGATACACAGAACATTTATTGTCCAGGCCACTAAAGTTGAGAATAAAATAAAGACACAGAGAAAACAGTTAAAACGTTAATGACAAGAAAAAGTGGGATGAGAAACAAACTTAAGGGCGAAATATACTAAATATTCTGCAACACCAAATCCTTACAAATGTCGATTTCCATTGTATTACACCATCTGGGATTCCCGTACGCTAAGAGAATCCCTAGCTGCTTCTTTGTGGCAAATTTATGAACAACTGAAAGTGGGACTGAGGACCTAGTCACAAGTATTTACTACCTGCACTTAATTAATAAACTGCTTTTTTAGTGAACCACAGTCTATTCAGGCTTTACTGATACGATACAAGTCACAACAGGTAACAACAGACAAGTAACCTTCCAGTTAATCTTATGAAGAAAGTCAACTGACCAATTGAATTATGCACATCTTTAATATTACTCTCATGGTATTACCATTTATCCAACTTACTGAATTTGGCACATCTTCTATGGAAAAAGTCACTATAGCAACTGATGGCTTGAAGATAATGCTTTCAAAATTACTTGAAAATAGGCAATGAAAATATTTGCTGCTGAAAAAGAATTCTTTGGAATAAGTATTTAACGATTGAGGTACCATGATCTAATGATGAGATGACAAAAGCAGTCATTCAGTTTCTTTGATTACTACATTTGCACACAACTTAATACAGTTGTAAGGCCCTACAAGACCTAGAAGGTCTGCACATACTGTGAAACTCCCTTTGCTAACATACTCATATTGGATCAGGCCCATATTGCATGTTTTGATTACTATGTGACTTAATTCATATGGAACAGATACTTTTAGCTGTCAGTGCTTGTCACGGGGCATGACTGACCGCCCTGGTGCCTCCTCCCAGTAGCACTGGGAATTAGCTCTTGTCAGCAGGTCGCCCCCCTCTGTCTGGAGTCTCTCCCATCACTCAGACAGGGACTGTTGCCACCCTGTGCTGCTGTGTGGGTACTAGAGGCAGCAGCATGGCATGGAAAGCAGCTGGTCTGAGAGGGGAGCTGGTTTTTAAATTGGCTCCCCTCACACACTAGCTCCCCCTAATACAGAGGCAGCAGCGTGGCATGGCAGAGGGCTCCTTGGGAGTGGGGCTGGAGCGCACTGGCTGCCAGCCCTGCCCCTAGGACTATCGAATAGTCATGTAACTGCAAAGATTTCATGTGCTTACATGACTATTCAATTACCCAATAGCTATCATCCCTAGTATAAATCAGAACTAACTCCTTTGAAGTCAATGGAGTTAAATCCACATGAACCAGTGTGGGACAGAACCAGGCCCTTTGGGTGTAACACTTTCATAATTGCTTACAGCATCCAAACGATAGCACTTTCAATATTTGTTAAGGTACCAAACAATCCCAGTGAGGGGTAAAGAAGGGTTAATCAGATTGTTGTTATTTTGGAAAATAATAATCAGCTGACTAATTTGGAGAGTTGCTTTTTACTGACAGAAAAAAATTTCAGGCCTTTCCCCTGGAATTCCACATTGTTTTCTAAAGTATTCTTGAAGAAAGGGGGAGGTTTGCCAACACTGGAAAATGTTCCCTGAGCTCAAAGTTACAGATTTCTAGCGAAGAAGTTGCAAGAGCTTCTACTTACCCACAAGCAATGGCACATCCAGATGGGGCATATGCACACGCCATCACCCAAGTACATGGCATAGTCACCGCATGTTCCTAAAACATAAGACTCTCCTTACATCTCAAGAATGAACTTCTGAGTTCATTACCATGTCACTAATTGCTGTTAAAATAACCACACAATTGCTCAAATGCTGTTATGACACCTTGTTGAGTTTAATGAAAATAGACAACAAATCAGATTGTCCATTTTAACATATTTTTGCTTGTAAATTTGAACCATGCAGAATCAAGCTGCAATTCAAAATCAGCTTTCATTGTGAAACCAAGAGGATTTATGAGAATGAGAATTAAGCCACATTTGCCAAGTTACGCATTTCTTAATACCACTAGGTTTATTTCCCAACACAAAGCTAATCAAATTTATGACTGGCTGTGGATTACTTCAGGATAACTGTGTAAGATCCTGGGCACCTGCAAGCTTTAGAACTATTGACATTTTGGATGGTCATTGCAGCATTTTTTCAAATGTAAATTAGAGTGGACTGCTTTTTCTAATGCCAGTGATACTCTTTATTAGCTACAATGTCTGCTAAGGCTATGCAGACTTGAGCTACACTGGGGAAGGGGGGGGGGGGGGGGTGAAGAGGGATCAGCATCACTCATGTAGGAAAATCAGGGAATATTATGGCTAAATATAGCAGGAGAAAATACAAGAGGTCCAATATGCCAGGGCACATACATACTCATGGCAATCACTATAGGTATTCTATAGGTGTAGCCTACACTTTGCCAGCCCTGCTTTGCACCTCTTGGTGCCCAGAGTAGTGGTATGCTCATGCTTCAGCTGGAGAGCCCAGGCAGTGGTGCCATGAGCTCTGGTGCACTAAGGAAGACAGAAAGGGAAGGACTACCATTCCCACCTCTAGCACATCCATGCATGCAGCCATATTTAGCTTTATGTACAGAAACTGCAGAAGTCCACTTACCTTGTTGGTAGTGAAGGAATCCCACACTATCACCTTCCCATCCTAAATTCAACACACAATGGAGAGAGAAATTGGAGACTTCAGACAATACTTTTACTCTCATATTTCAGAGATCAGGGTAAAGCACTGCTGTTAGCATCTATCCCACATGCTATTTCCCCTGGAAATATGTCACTGCCTTTACAACACTGCTGTTCACAACAGTGCAGTGTGCTCTGAATCAGAGGTGCCACTTAATTAGGCGAGTTATTTCTTTAAATGCAAAATGACGCTGCACCATCCCCCCTCACACGCATGGCCAAATGGAGATAGATAAGCCCTGTGTGGAGATAAATACCCTTTTTTCCAGTGTGCCTCTGAAAAAAGATCAGTCTTAGCACTGATTTCCAGTGTTCCTGCTCATTTCTTATGTCCATATGGAGAATGACATTCGTTATGTGCACTACTATAGAGATAATGTATCACATAACAAAAGTCACATGGGCGGCATGTGGTAAGAGTGTGGTCAAGGGTTTGGGGAATGGGCTCTAAATGGGAACTCCGGGCCTGAGAAGAGGCTCTGGCCCGGGGCAGTTGAGGAGTAGGTGAGGGTAAGGGTGCTGGTTGGGGGTATGGGCTCTGGAGTGGAATTGGGGATGAGGGACCAAGTGATTCAGAATACAGGAGAGTGCTGCAAATTGAGACAGGGGGTTGGGATACAGGAAGGAGCGTGGGCTGTGGGGTGGACCTGGGGATGAGTAGTTTGGGATGCAAGAGGGAGCTCCAGATTTGGGGAGAGGCTCAGTGCTGGGGAGCTGGAGGAGGTATGGGTTCTGGGCTAAGGATGCTAAAGAGTGGACTAGTTGGATAGTCGACTATAGTCAGTCGACTAGTCGATTTTCTCCCCTCCCCCCCTTACTGCCTCTATCAGAGGCAGCAAAGGAGGCAGTAGAAGGGGTACTTCAAAGTGGCAGTGCCGCACAGAACCGGGGATCAGCTGTGTGGCGCTGCCATTTTGAAACCCCAAAGTGGCATTTCAAAGGGGCAGAGCCCCACAGCTAAGTCAGGGATCAGCTGTGCAGTGCTGCCCCTTTGAATGCTGCTTCAGTGTTTCAAAGGGGAAGCATCGTGGAGCCCAGGGTCAGCTTATAACTCCCCAGCTGACCATGGGCTCCGTGCAGCATACAGCACAGCATGAAGCCCAGGGTCAATGGGGGACTCTGAGTCCCCCACTGACCTCTGGCTCCATGAGGGTGCTGAGGCTTTGAAATGCACAAGAGTCCCCGCATGCATCCTGAGTCAGTGGGACTTCCTGCTGGCCCTGGGATGCACGTGGAGTTCCGCATTCCTCCTTTGAAATTTACAAGAGCCCCAGCAGGGGCTCTTGCACATTTCAAAGGAGGAATGTGAAAGTACCTATCAACTAGTTGATATTCCATCGACTACTCGACTAGTCAGTTAACCACAATTTAACATCCTTACTCTTGGCCAAGGGTGTGGGCTGTGGGGCGGGGCCAGGATAAGACGTTTGGGATGCGGTAAGTAAATCCAGATTTGGGGAGAGCTCAGGCTGAGGCAGAAGGTGGAGACCGAGGCTTACCTAGGAGGCTCCAGGTCAGCAGCACTAATGCAAGCTGCCTGATGCCTGCCTATCCTAGGGCACAACACTGTGCACTGGAAGTGGTCAGCAGGTCTGACCCTGGGGGAGAGGGAACAAGGGGCTCTGCAATGCACTGCTCTCACCTGCAAGCACCCCACAAGCACTGCCCCCACAAGCTCCCACTTGTGCTCAGGGAGGGGACAGTAAACAGAGCCCCAGAGCCACTTGCCTAGGAGTTGGACCTGCTGCTGGCCACTTCCCTGCTGGCCCCAGTACAGAGCTGCCCTGGCCACAGTAGTTCTGTGATGGGGCTGCTAGAGAGGGGCACTACTTCCCCAGCCATAGCAGCTTTGGGAGAGGCACCTCTCCCCACTGCAGCCCTGAGCCCCTGTGAAGGGCTTAATAGGAAGCTCAGCTGTGTGGCCGCACAGCTTAGAGGGGACTTAGCTTACGATTAAGTATGTTAAGGACTAGTTGACTAGTCAATTCCCTCCCCCCTTGCTGCTTCTATCAGATAGAGGGAGCAAGAGGGGGGAGGAAGAGAAGATACTTCAAAGCAGCAGCACCACATGGAGCCCATACCAAGCTCCGTGCAGCACTGCCACTTTGGAACACTTTGATACATTTCAAAGCAGCACTGCATGGAGCCTGGGGTCAGCCCCTTGCGGCGCTGTCCCTTTGAAACACCTCGGCGTTTCAAAGGGGCAGTGCTACACAGAGCTCTGTATGGGATCAGCTGTGCGGTACTGTCCCTTTGAAACGCCACCTCGGTGTTTCAAAGCAGCAGCTGTGCGGAGCTCAGGGTCAGCTGGGAATACTCCAGCTGACCCTGGGCTCCGCATGGCATTTTAAAGTGGCAGCGCAGGATGGAGCCTGTGGTCAGCGAGGGACTCTCAGCTCACAGGATAGATGTAGCCTTAAAGGAGCTGTCCTCAGACTTACCATGGGGATCTTGATCTTCTCAAGAAACAACCATCTGAATAAATTTGTATTCATTCTTTTCTTCTACAAATGAGCAGTTACATCTGCTCCTCGCATCACTCTGTTTATCTGCTTTTCCCCATTCCATCCTTCCTCTACTCCCTTCTTTTTCTCTACTGCTACTCTTAATTAACCTTTAATTACCCAAGTAACCTAACAATAAGAATGAACATGCAATCAATAGCATGCTACATAATCATCTTATCTTGTGGACTGGCATAATATCCTTTAACATTCCAGACTGGGAAAAAGTGAATTTTGTTTGCAACCAGCTATTTTTATTTCCCTGGACTCATTAAATTCTTAAAATAGAAGTTTAAAAAATGCAAAGTGAAATTATGCAAGTGTCATCAAACAGAAAACAAACTTCACTTTCCTGTAATGCTAATACAGTACCTAAAACCCCAAGCAGGTTCACAGAAACATTTTTTCAGGATACATTTTTAAAGTGGAATAAGCCTCTCTTTTTTGCTTTCAGACCTACACACAGAGACTTCACCACTTCAAAAAAAAATAGATTACTAACTGTTCAATCTTTGGTCTCCTGGCTGAGACATCCAAGAATGGTGTCAGACAGCAGTAATTCTCATGGTGGTTTTGTGATGCAGATATCCTATTCTATCCTGTAGGCACTAGATTGAGACAGCAACTCATTTCAGAAAGGCCAGAAAACAGCTGTCAGATGTAACAAGTTTCAGCCATTACCATTCAGAATGTGAACCAGTGACAGGCATTTATCTCAATACGTCTCCCATCCCCCTGTACATAAGACTGATCTTGAACAGACTTGCAAACTGTTTCTCAAAATGTCCAAATATTTGTAGTAGTTCTAGCTGGCTGAGTGTTTCTTTAAGGTCCCATCAATCTTCCAGACCACAAAAAGGATTTCATGTTCACAGATCACATTGAGACCTCTCTAGTAGAATCAAAATGTTTTCAGATTTCCTCATTCCAATTCTTTCTTTCCAAATGAGAGTGTGCTGCATATTGAGTGTCCATAAAGAATAAGAGGCATCTGATCTCAAACCAGCTCATTGTAATATTGTGTGCTAAATGACTGTGGACACTGGAAAAATTCTGCATGAAAAATGGAAGAAGGGTCTTTAAAGTATCACCTTCAATAGGTGTGTTAATGCTTACCAGAATTATATTCTTTATTCAGTAGTCTGGTTTATGATTTCTGAACAAATGTTACTAAAAGAATGCTTTAGGCATCATAAAAGCTTTTAGACTAACCATAGGTATTATTTCCAATTTATGTTACCTAGTGTAGCTATAAGAATTGTGCCTGGCTATCATGGACTTCAAATAACTCACCTGGGAAGAGCTCACAATTCGTCTTTTATCTTTGCACCAGTCCATGCAGAGGACTTTATTGCCATGGCCTTTCAGAGTTCTCCTGGTCTTCATCACGAATTGACCTAGTGCTTCCACACGTTCGGCCACCTGATGAACTGTGGAGAATTAGCCATAAAGAGACTCACCAAATGTTTGCTCTGTATTAAAACCCTGGTCCTCCAAACACTGATACTGTAACTCAGGAGTGACTTTTGCTCATGTGAGTCATTCCAAGAAGCACAATGAGTCTATACAGGTGAGTTGTTAGTCATGTGAGTGTTTGCAAGATCAGACGCTAAAGGATCACTTGAAGCATATCTAACCACGTGTATAGTATAGTATTCTTCACAGAAGCATTGCTATTAAAAACAGAAGACTCCTTAGAGAATGTCATCTAATCAAACCATCTGGCATACCAGGTTTTGTTCACTGGGGGGAGAGGAAGGTTGTGAATGTGTTTATGTACCAAAAATTCATTTACATTATTTAGGACTTTTTACATTTGTTGATAATTTTTTTAACTGAAATACTATATGCAATCATAAAATTTTGCAGCTCTTACTTTTTAATACAGTGTTTTGTCTCAAATGATTGTTGTGGTTCTAAAGTCCTTTCAATGTTATAAAATGCTTCTTTTTAAAAATAACTTCAGCCCTAGCAATGAGAGGACATTTTAATGCGGCAGCTCTGACCTAAAGGTGATATAAGTACTGGACTTCCATCACAGGTTTGATCTGCACTCGGAATTCACACTGGCAGCCACAGGCAGCGTGTGTGCCAGCTGCCATACGTGCCCTTGCATAAGCTGAGTGGCTGAGCAGTTTTTTTAATAGCGTCATATCTTATGACATTAACCTGCCTCAATGTAACAAACAACAAAGCCTTTTCACTTCACTTGTGTCTGGAGAATAGCAAGGGTTTATTTCTAAAAATACATGGCTTTATGGATCAGTTTCTATTCATTCTGGAGAATCTGAAGTAAAATCTTCCAGCTTGAGTTCTCACGTTTTAAGTTATTTCTTTCCAGCTGGGGTTTCTATAAATAAGTTCAGATTTCCAACAGGACGTGGCTGTAACAATGCATATGCAAAGGCACCTCACTGTGAAATCCACCCCACTCATGGCACTGTGCAAAGCCATTTTGCACCCCTAAAACCTCATGTTGTAACTGTCCCCGATGAATGGCAGTGGGGGGCATTAGTTGAGAAGTCTAATTTGTTTCTGTGATGTTCATTCTAGCAAGAGCTCAGTAAAGACATACAAAATTGCTTCTTTCATACAGGAGCAAAAGGAATCTGGGCTGGCCCTAGAAAACCACAGTAAGAGGGGGACATTGTATCTGCATTTATGAGGATCTAGTGGCTTTACCAGCATTAAAACATTTTGCAAGGAGCCTGGAGGGAATGGGGCTGCTACGTGAGCTACAGCAGTGGTCACCAACCAGTAGATCGGGATCTACTGGTAGATCTTGGAGCCTCTGACAGGTGATTCTGACAGGTTTGGCCGGGAGGCTGTCAAGTGCAGACACTTCATCTGCCCCTCTCAGCACTGCCATGCTGCTTCTGCCCTCTGCCTTGAGGTGCCCCTGCCCTTCCCCCATCCTGTACCCCATCTCCACAAAGCGGGAAGGGGCAGGTATGGAGAGAGTTTGCTGGCTGCTTTTGGGAGTAGGTGTGAGCCTGCCTTAGTCCCCAGTACCACCACCCAGAAGCCACCCATGGTAAGCGGTGCCCAGCTGGAGCCCACATTCCAAATCCCAGGTCCAGTCCTGAACCCCTCCTCCACCCCAAACCTCTGCCCTAGCCCTGAGTCCCCCTACACCCAAACTCCCTCCCAGAGCCAGCACCTTGAACCCCCCTGCTACTCAACTACCTCAGCTCAGAACCCTTCCCACATTCCAAAACCTTTAGCCCAAGATCAGCATCTGCATCCCCTCCCCAGATCCTCAGCCCTCTGCCCCCAGCCTGATAAAAGTGAGTGAGGATGGGGGAGGGAGGGAGGAAGGATGGAGTGAGCAGGGCCAGGGCCTTGGAGAAGGGTAGGAAGAAGCCGGGGCAAGCATGTTTGGGTCTAAGGTAGATCTTGGATTGTACTGAAATTCAAAAAGCGATCTCATGCTTACAAAGGTTGGAGACCACTAAGCTATAGGCTAGACTAGGAGTTATAGGAGTCTGTGTGCTCTAAATCAGCCTTATAGCCAGATTCAGGCTACATCTACACTGCAGAGGCTACATCTAAAACTCACAGAGCGTCCACACTACAAGTGCGTTTTTACACAAGAAAAAAGTACAGTAGATTGTCAGAAGAGTTATTCCTCTTTCTATGAGGAATAAGCCTGTTTGTGCAAGAGCTCTTGTGCAAAAAGGCACATGCTGATGGACAACAAGGGTTTCTTGCGCTAGAAACCCCTATCGGATAAAGCACAGGTGCTCTGATGGCCAGTCTGTGAATGACCATCAGAGCGTTCTTGTGCAAGAGTGTCCATAGCAGTGCGGACACTCTCTTGCGCAAAAACACATGGCAGTGTGGACGGGCTCTTGTGCAAGAACTTTTTGCAGAAGATCTTCTGCAAAAAGTTCTTGTGCAAGAAGCCTGCAGTGTAGACATAGCCCCAGAGATTAAAGAGGACCTGATCCAGAGACACGCTGGTGTGATTCAATGGATGCCACATGTCACTTGCTAGTGGGTTGCCTATATCAGTCAATCAGATGTTTCTACTGCACTCATACTAGAATCAGTGGGAAGACTCCCATTGATAACAACACAATTGTATCTGGACTTTAGATTTTTTAGCTCAAGTGACTTGGAGCTTGAGTGCTGGGTCAATCCCATTGGTGATGAGTGAATGCTCTGGGTAGATGTAATTGCCATTGATGAAAGCTGCGGGTAACTCAGTACCTTTTAGAATCAAGCCCTAAATTAGAATTACTTCAGAAAACTCACAGCTAAAATCTTTGCCCTTTGTTTAAGCAGCAGTGAGAAAGCATATGAGCTGGGAAGGGCTGTCACAGCAGTAGGACGGGCACCCTTACTCTACAAAGATGGCTCTTTGGCTCACAGTCAGCTGAGCAATTTCTGCCTACATCTGATATTGATTTCTTATGGATCTGCTTTTCAATAATCATCAGCCTTGCAGACTGGGTCAGGGGCTGAAAATAATGCTCTTAGCTACAAACATAGCCTTACAAGGGACTTAAATCTCACATAGCAAGGAAACTAAATTGCTGCCCATTATTCCTGACAATTCGTCCATTACAGATTGATCTTTGTGAGGGGTCAGAAGCAAACCAGCCTTTCCAAAAAGCATCAGCTAAACCTATTGAAAAATTACATCCTCTCCTGCACACCATTATCAAGTGAAGCCAATCAAACGCTCTATTGAGATCCTGCAATACTATAATCAGAATACAAGTGCTGGAGGTTGTTATGGGAGCTGCAAGGCTAGGTTCAAATGCCAGTGTCCAGGGCTTAACAAATAAAACACATCTTACTGCCATTAGCCATACGTTTCCTTTCTGTTAATGCAACACTGAGTCTGCAGAACTGCCTACTTTAGTACAAATAACTCTCTTAGAAGTTTGATCCTACACTCTGAAACCAAAGCAAACTCATAGCAGCCCTAAAAAGACTTCACAGACATATACAAATTTTAAAAATATTTATAATAGTTTTAAAGACACTATTGCAAACTATGAGTGTGACCTTGCAGCTCTGACTCGGGTGAATAGCTCTAATGCACTAACCAGGACTAGTCACAAAAGGTAGTTTGTGCAAATAAAGATGAAGGATTGAGCACAGAATATTGCAAGTTACTCTGGATATCCTTCTATAAAGTATGCTATAGTTAAACAGAAGTTATGAGGCTTGATGCAGAAATTATTGGGTTCTGCCTCTGTTATGCAGGTAATGTGAGGGAGGAAAGAGGTCATGTCAGATTAAATGATTATAAAAGTGCCTGCTGGCACTAAAATCTATAAATCACATAGACAATATAATTGTTCATATTTCTAATCCAAACTTTTCAATACTGTAATTAACCCTGAGAGTTTTCCTGATTGCAAGTCAAATAAAAAGGCTTCAGATGTCTGTTCACATTTTTCAAAGAGCTACAATTCAAAATAAAATTGAACAAAGAAGAGAAAAGCTATTAAGGCAGGCAGTTTCTTTTGGAGGAAAATGGGGGGGGGGGAAGGATCATGGTTTTGTCATTACCAAAAGTGTTAGTCATAATTTTAAGAGATAAAAAGGGAAGTTATTTATTTTCCCAATAGAGATAGCTGTTGGAAATAGTTTAAAAGCACAGGAAGACCACGAGCCATCAACATAGACCCAAATCTATGTAAAAACAAAAACAAAAAAACAGGAGTTTTGCTCAGGAGTGAACACACCGGGGAGGGGAAAAAAGACCCAAAATAAACCCTCCTATGAAGGGAAAAAATGCTAATAGTCACAGACTTTGTCAAGAAAATCAAACCTTGGGTAACATACACAGCCTTCATAAAAAAAAGTTCTAAAAACCCCATTAATTTACAGATCTATGAAGTAAACATGAAAAGAGTGTTCCACAAACATCATGAGACTTACAATTAGAGTATGCACAATTAAAGTTAAGAAATAGCATATATATAATTAAATAGAGACAGTTTTAAGCATATGCTCAAGTGGTCTGCTGAACTGAGGCCTTATTGCTTATCTTGTAGCAATTATACTGCAAGACTACTGATTATGGCAATGTTTCTGTGAGGAGGCCATCTCTGTTCAATGATTCCTATTAATAGGATACTGACAAAACCTATGATAATCACATTTAGGCAAGAAAATGCCTCATGTGTGACAGAAAAGAAACAAGTGTATTTTTTAAAAAAAATCTGAAATTTACAGAGAGTAACAAATAGTGATCACATAAATCAGCAGATACAGTCCTGTATCCCTTTTTCAGAAACAGGAGGAACAAAGTTGTAATAAGCCCACAAAAAAACCCACTAGTAACATCAACCGTATACTTCAAGAAAAATGTGACGATTTATACTTGTAACATTTTTTAAATGAATGAGAGGTAATAAAAATAAGGTGTCGTATCTCTGGGATTTCAGGCCAACAAGGTCACATTATTCTGTAAAAACTTAAAAAACAACAAATAGTCTGGTAGCACCTTAAAGACTAACAAAACATGCAGATGGCACAGCTCATGAAAGCTCATGATATCATC